TAGCTATATATAATATTTTAAAAAATCTATAGAAATTAATATAACTTATTTTAAGACTTATATATAAACTATTAAAATTATAGATATTTTAGGCTAAGAAATAATTAATATCTTTATAAACTAAGATTATAATAAAATTACTTTTAAAAATAATATATAGTAAACTATATAATATAATTTTTTTTAATTTTTAAAAAATCTCCTTTATATAATAAAGCTTAATTATATAATATATAATATAATATAAATAGACTTTAAGGTTTATAGTTATATATAATTTTTTTAAAAGTTTAAGGAAATTAATATAACTTATTTTAAGACTTATATATAAGCTATTAAAATTATAGCTATTTTAAACATAAATTAAGCTTTTTATAAGCCTTTAAAAATTAAATTTTAAGGTATATAAAGTAATAAAGCACTTACTTATCTAAAGTACTTACTTATTAACTATATTATACCTATTTATATATTTTATTTACTTTAGCCTCTAAATATTAAGTACTTTAAGCTATTAAAATAGGCTTATAATTAAAAAATAAAGTTTTTAATTAAATATTTTATAACTTATATTCTTAAAATTAAGTTTTTCTTTACCTTTTATATTATTTTTAAAGCTACTTTTATAAAAAGTAATATCTAAGAGGGTTTTAAAGGAGTTAGGCTTACTTTTTTTAACTTAAGAATTATAATCTTAAAGCTTAATATATAATTATAAACCCTAATACCTTTAAAGAAGGCAATTTAATTATTAATATTATAAGCTTTAAAGACCTTAAAGATAATAATTAAGGCCTAATTTTAATTTAAATATCTTAAAAGGTAAATTAAAAGGTATTATAATAACTCCTTAGAGTTTATTATTAAAGCTTTAAAGTTAATTATAAAGGTAATAAAGGTAATTATATATAAGGTTATCTTATTAAGGGCTAAGCTTTATAATCTTTAAGATATAAATAAGATATTAAGTTAATATTATAAGGTAAAAAGGATTAAATTAGAAGAAAAAGGGATTATAATTATATAAGAAGTATTATAAGTAATTAATTAAATAAATATTAATATATAAGTAATAGCTAAATTATTAAGAAGTAGTAATTAAGAAAGGTTAAAATAATTAGATAATTAATATTATAATATATATAATAAAAAAAGGTATAATATAAGAACTTATTAAATAATTCTTAAATTATTTAAGAAGGAATTTAATAAGTAAAAGCTAGCCTTTTTAAATTATAACTTAAGCTTTTAAGCTATAGTTTAAAAAGGTTAAAGAAAGTAAGTTATATACTTATTTAGGTTATATACTTATTAACTATATTACCTAATAACCTTTAAAGAACTTTTATTAATAATATTAAAAAATAAAGAATTAAAGTTAATATCTCTTAAACTAAGAGAATTTTAATTATTACCTTTAGGATTTAAAGAATATAATTTATTAAAAGCTATATACTTATAATAACTTAGCTTCTTAGCTAGCTTATTTTTTTCTTTAAGACTTTAAATATTATAATAAAACTTAAATACTTAATACTTTTTTATTTTAT